AAAAACCTAAATGTTATACCCCTATTAATATTCGGTCACTCTCTGGCCTCACTGCACTAATCCTGCTGCCCCTGGTGACCCCTACTTTCAGAATGACTGGGTGAGTACATGCATGGACAGCACTGAGAAGCATTAACCCCAGCGCTGGGGGATACAGGCCAGAAGAGCATCCCATCCAAAACCAACCAAAGGGCTGAGTGACTCAGCAGGAGGGTGCTTGTTTAGGGTGCTCTGGTTTCAGCCCTGCAACACAACAAGCAAACCCAAACACCCAATTTGATCCCTTGCCTTGCTGCAAACCAAAGGCTGGTTTCCCTTTGCGTGTACAAAGCTGAGTTTAGTTCCTCTTCCCAAGCTGCCTGTCCCTCCATATTTATACCCAGCACCGAAAGCACTGTCCAGAAAGTTCATGCACCATCTTTGCCATTTCCTTCTTTCAGACGGCCTGTGACTTGGCTTCAGAGCTTTCTACTCCTCTTGCCTGCACACCTACATCCTAAGGGATGTACCTTCCTCCTCCCATCAATCCATTCTCCGAAATGCTGCTGGAGATAAGCTATCCTTTCAAAAATCTGAATACAACCATGCTAGGGCTGCCTGGGGGAGCCGTTCTCCTCTGTGTTTTGGATCTTTGCCCAGCAGGCCAAGCCAGCTGGACTCTGTCCCAGCCCACTCTTCCAGCTGGTTCTCAGACTTTCTTGTCTCCTCCTCTTCATTCCAGCTAGTGAACTGTAGTTCCTCAGATGCTCAACGCTCTCCTTTGCATTCAGGCTTCTGCTGCCTAGGACACCTACAGACGCATAAGGCAACTGTCTCAAGATTTGGGCATCCCTTGTGGGATTGCATCCTTGTTCTTCACCCAACTTCCATCCTATGGCTCCAGGGTGCAATTACTCCCGTACTTGAGCCATCTAGGCACGGTGGCCGCAGGTCATACAGTTTTGTGGGTCCTTGATCAATTTTGTTCATCTACTGCAAAGTAAGACATTATGCACGGGGAGCTAATGTTTGCTTACGAATGCAGATATCTTCCATAGGGGTCTGGATGTCTCTTAATGTTTCTGTGTACCAGGGATGACCCTGCTCTGGGCTATGTTCCAAAACCCTTGGTTCAGACTTGGATCTCTAGAGTTCAGCCAAAGAACTATCTAGCTTCTGGGAAACAGAGGGTGTGGTAAGTTGACCAGTAGCTCTTACCACCCAAGTTTGCTTTCTCATTTTTGGCAAAAGGTAATCCTGCATTGCTGACCTTTCTCTTTCCCACCTGCCCTGACTTGGGGGCAAAGATCATTCTGGTTCCACTGCAAGGGAGTTGGTCACTTGAAGCATAGACTACTTTGACAGAAAAATGTAGAGGGCAAACTTGGCATGGTAATAACAGTCAGCTAAATCAGTGCTAATCCAAGGCATGCATTAGTTACTAGTTCCTGCCGTTATGATCCACAACAGGCCCTGAAAGCATCCTGCCTGAAGACTGTCTCAGAGGTTTGGAGAAGCACACGCTGTACAGAGTTACAGATATTGGAGACTAGAGCCCTTGTGCTTGGGAGGTTTATACAATCTAGGCCTAAAAATACAGTGCTTGCCTCTACTGGGGCTTTTGGCTACCCTTGAGGGAGGAGGTGGTACTGGGAAATGTCTTACACTACTTTTTAATCATTCATGGATGACCACAGGGATTCGTGAAAGTAGCAGGAGCCCGAGGAGACGGTGCTTACGTGCTGGAGGAGAGAACACATGCATTATGTAGCAGAGGCCTGTTTTTTCCTCTGCTCGTTTCACTTCTATAGGCTGGGAAATCCCCTTGGTGCTGGGCCCATGATACACTTCCCGCTATGCTTTATGTCTTTGCAACAGTATGGCCCCAGTTTAAAAAAAAAAAAGTCTTTACAACACTATGGAATATAAGAATTCTAGAAAAACGTCATAGGTTATATTTGTTTGGTGTTAAGGCTTTTGTGTGTGTCTGGGGTGTGTGTGTGTGTTTGTTCATGGATATTTTCAGGTGTCTATGCATTCATGTGGAAACTAGCGATCAATCCTGGTTGTCATTCCTTAGGGGTCCTCTACAAGGTCTCTCTGTGTAGCCTTGGCTGTCCTGGGACTCACTCTGTAGACCAGGCTGGCCTTGAACTCCGAGATCTGCCTGCCTCTGCCTCCCACGTGCCCAGCTCACTTTTTTTTTTTTTTTTGAGCCAGAGTCTCTTCATTGAGTTCTGGAGCTTAGCTTACTGATTAGGGTAGGATGGCTCTGTGAGCCCCAGGAATCCTCATATGTCCATCTCCTTGGAGACAGGATCACAAGCCACACTCTCAAGCCTATCCTTTCTTTTTTTTTTTTTGGTTTGGTTTTTCGAGACAGGGTTTCTCTGTGTAGCGTGGCTGTCCTGGAACTCACTCTGTAGACCAGGCTGGCCTCGAACTCAGAAATCCGCCTGCCTCTGCCTCCCAAGTGCTGGGATTAAAGGCGTGCGCCACCACAGCCCAGCAAGCCTCTCCTTTCTTATGACATGATTTGAACGCTGGTCTGCAAGTTTGTATGGCAGACACCTTATAGACCAAGTTCTCTGCTTAGCCCCAGATGCTGTTTTTTTTTATTAATTAAAATATTGTTTGCAAGCCAAAGTGAATTGAGAGTGAAGTGTAATACACATATTTAATCTCTTATTAATAACCCCACTGGTGGAGTGTGACGAAGCTACAGACTGTAAGTGAAGTCCCGAATGCTTGGCAATAGAACACAGTCTTCATGAGGATTACCATTTGGAGAAAGAGGAGAAGGTCCGAAGAGAAGCAGACCAAGGAAAGAGTCCCCTCTACACTGCTGCTGTCAAAGAGTGATAGTGTAAGTGTACAAGTGACTGTCAAGAATCATTTTAGGGCCAGTGAGGTGGCTCAAGCAAGTGAAGGCACTGACCCCCCAGAACCCACGGGGTAGAAGGAAAGAACTCCTTGAGTTGTCCTCTGACACCACACGAAGGCCATAGCACGATGTAGCCACATACATACATATACACAAATAAATAAATGTAAAAGCATTTTTTTTTATAAAAGAGTAATTTTGGTATGACTGGAAAACATGAATGCACTTGTTCCCTGAAAAGCTACGATACTGCCATAGACTGTTGAGTGTCTAATGAACACTATGGTCAGAGCTAAGAAGCCATTGTTACACACCACTGTCTTCAGTCCTGAGAATGGGGTGACTGGTAACATCTGGGGGTGGGGGGGACATTTGACCACATGATGTAATACAAGATACTTTATATAAAAGCTCAGGGTAACTATGTATCATGGGATATATATATATAAACTACATTTCTTCTTCCTCCTCCTCTTCTTCCTTCTCCTCCCTCCCTCTTCTTTTTATTGAGACTGTTTTTTGTTTGGTTGGGTTTTTTTTTGTTTTTTTGTTTTTTTTTTTTTTGCTTTCTGTTTCTTAGGCTGATCTTGAATTCTAAGGTTCAAGTGGTCCTCACGACTCAGTCTCTCCTGAAGCTGGGAACTACCGGCAAGTCTGCTCATAAGGCCTCATTTCTCCTATTTAAAAAAACCTATTTGTGGCTGGAGTGATGGCTCAGCAGTTAAGAATACTGGGTGCTGCTCTTGCAGAGGAATTAGGTTTGATTCCTAGCACACCCACGTGACATCTAACCATAACTAAGTTCCAAGGGATTTAATACCTTCTTCTGACCTTCACTATGGCCACCAGGAACATATGTGGGGAACTTAACATGCAGGCAAAACATTTATACACACAAAAAATTAAGAAAAAAAAAAAAACCAAACCCTCCATTCCCTTATCTTTTGAAAGAATGTCTAAAATCACTACATAAACGACTCACCGTGAATACAAAAGGGGAAAATTGCGACAATGCATTTCTGCAGTTTGTATAAACACACTTGCACATAGACAATGTTTCCAGTGCCCTCCGAATGGGAGGGTCAGAGCCTGCTCGCCGGAGCACCACACACAGGAAGGCATTTAGAATTCTGTTAAGTTCCATTTAGAGAAACCACAAGATTTTAAAGCTGCTATTGCCCTGGAGATTTAACTCAAACATTCTGGGCAAGAAAGCCAAAGTAGTTTACAGTCTGCATAATTTGGCTTGGTGTGGGGCCCAAAGGCTAGGTCTCAGGGAGAAGATAGTCTCTGCACCTCAGTTTTTGCTCTACCTTTTAAGGTCAAGCTGGATTATCATTCGTTCTTTTAATTTTGTGCTCTTCCTTTCCCCCTAGGGATAATTCTGATCAAGTTGGCTTCAGCATTCCTGTTGTTTTGTTCTGTCCTTCGCTCCTGTACTGTTTTTGTTTGCTTTAAATCGTCTTCATTGCTGAGATTGATTTTTGTTTGTTTGTTTTCTTGATCAGTATATACAATACCGACGAAGGTCATACCTACCCACCCAAAAGCTCCAGTCACAGGGCACAGGTACAAACGCCCCATCCAGGAAAAGGTGCACTTGCTTTCCTCCAGCGTCCACTGGCCACGTGCGGGAGGAGGGGTCGCTTTCTGATTGGTGCCGGGAGTCTCGCCTGGAGGGCGGAGCCACCTGTCTGTCCATCACCACATGCTGGGCGGGGCCTGGGCGGGCAGGCCTGGTTGTAGGGCAGATCCCGGACAGCGGGACCCAATCTCTGCGCTTTGCCTCAACTCGGCCGCCGCTCCTCCAGTGCGAGCCGCGAGGCGACGGTTGCCGGGGCGCGCGCCGCCCGTTCCTCTTTCCCGTTGCGAGCGGCTGGCGCGTAGGGAGGCGGCCCCCAGTCCGGCCGGGCGCCTCCCACTCTCCGAGCCGCCGGGGAGCCGGAGGATGGCGGCGGTGGCAGCGGCCGCCCGGGAGGAGGCGGTGCGGAGGCCGCGGAGCACGGCAGCAAGCGGCAGCGGCCCGTCGCGGTGGCCCGGCAGTGTCCGCGTCCGCACGGCTACCTGAGCACCAGCCGCGAGCTGCGTCCCGCCTCTCTCGCTCGCTCGCTCGCTCGCGGCCCGGGGCGGCGCGGACATGGGCGCCAAGCAGAGCGGCCCCGCCGCCAACGGCCGCACCCGCGCCTACTCGGGCTCGGACCTGCCCTCCGGGACCAGCGGCGGCGGCGGGGCGGACGGCGCTCGGGCGGCCCGGTTCGCGGCCTCGGTGCCAGGCGCAC